AGTGGCTTACACAGAATAGCAACCACATAAACAAAAGAAGAATTGAGCTACTGGGAGCCAACACCCCCCTGACCAGAGTCAATACATGGGAGGTACCAGAAGAGCAGAGCTGGCCATGCCCCAAGGCGATGCACAGAATCCTCAGGTGGCTCCCACGTGCTTCCAAGCCCTGATGAAGAGACAGTATCTCCGCTTGCAGATTGCTGGGAGCTCGTGAGAACATGGCTCTTCCCAACCCTGGTGCAGAGGAGGGGGCCAGAGGGGAGCAGCAGCACAGCAGAGCAGCGGTGGAGCAAGGATGCAGGGTTGCCAAGCAACAGCCAACCACGGGAGGGGGGAGTTAAAATGGGGAAGGGAAACAGATATAAATTGTATTTGCTCCTGTGGGGCCACAGTAGCCCTTCCATCTGCTTCTCTTCCTGCTTCCATGGAGTTATGGGTGTGGATTCCACGAGGGGATTTGGCCACAAGTGTGTCTTGCATCATGAGCTCCAGCCGGCTCCTCCAGGAGGTTGCAAGAGGGAGAACCGTAAGAAATACTTTCTTTGCCAACTTGTTGTCATGGATAATACAGCAGGAACAGCAGCAGGCTGCCGTGGGTTCTCCACACAGCTTGCCCCAAGACTCAGGAATAAAAAGTAAAGCCAGACCTTCACCCTTCACACGTCTGCATCAGTGATGTTCCTCCTGGTGCACCCTCGTTTGCCTCAGAGACACCACAAAGTACAGGAGATATTTTTACCTTCATACCATACAGACTTCCTCTGTGACAAGTGGAGCCTGTGTATTATTTCCACACAAAATTCTTATTTCTATTCTGTGAGACCATAAACATCTGATGAAGTAGAGGAGGAGACCTTCACAAAATGTTTAGGCAAAAGTCTAAAAGCTTTTTAACCTTCAGCTACTCTGGTAAGGAGGGACCAGTTAGAGAGGGGATGGAATATACAAAAATAAAGACTCCTGACAGCTCATGGGGCTGGAACACATATGCTGGAAAGACTTTATAAAGCCTGACCTCAGAGATCCCAAGCCTCTCTCTGCAAGGACAGCCTACCACTAACCCCACTCCCCATGGCCATTCCCCACATCACAGCTTTCACCAAACCTGGCTCCTGGTTCCAGATGCAAAGCTTTGCTGCCTCTTACTTGGTGCAATTCAATGTTTTCAAGTCCACTCACAAAAAAATCTATTTGTGGTCCCCCTCTTTTTTTGACCCTTTCTATTCTGCCCACACTTTATACCCATTATCTCAGCTCACCAACAAACTGGGTGCTTACGCACCACTGCACAAATAATTTTGTCTCCATAATGCATTTTCTACAACCTATCATTGCTTACACTTACAGAGGAAGGAAACAGAAAACTATGGAGGAAACTGCATTTGCATTTACTTTTGAGTACAGAACATAAGTTTTACCAATGCAAATTGTTCACAGGTAAGATAGAGACATTCTCTGTGCCTTTCAGGTCATGGAGTCACCCAGAGAAACGAAAAAGGTTGTAAAGCAGACAGTTCTCTTTCTTTCATCCAGGTACCTGTGCCTGCTTTAATAGTCAAAAGGGAGGAGTAAGCACATTTAAGAGATGATTTCTCCCATCCTACAGTGATTGTCCAAGGTAAAACAGAAAATGCACCCTGGAAGCCTCTGTTCCTCTCTCTCCATGTATTATGTGGAGAAGCTCCAGTGAATTGCACCATAAACACTTTAAATTAAGTGAGATGAGCAATGTCCACAGCAGCCAACTGTTACTGAGTTTTTAAATAGCAGCAAGTCCACAGGCAGGATTTGAAGGCAGCTAATGGAGATCTTCCTTTTTGGGGAGGAAATTCTTATACAAGAGCAGAAAAGTACTTGACTGTAAGTTTGGCAAACAAGTGGAAATTCATATGCTGGTTGGAGACGGAAAAGGACTCCAAGTACTTCATGGGAGAAGTTTGGTAGGGCTGTGCTATGGAGGACTTCAGCAGTAGAGGAGAATAACCTGTAATAGAGAAAAAATGGGATATCCTGTCCAGTGAAGGGTTTCACCTTAAAATGAAAGGCTGGGTAAACATGAATGACAGCAGCACATTCGACTGGGATTAAAGGAGAAAAATCAAAATTGTCTTGTCATCACCTGTGGCAACACATCTGGAGCACTGTGCACCAGCTCTGGGCTCCTCAGACCAAGAAAGACACAGACATACTGGGGTGAGTTTAGTGAAGGATCACAAAGACTGTTAAGAAATTGGAGAATCCAATGCATGAGGAAAGGCTGAGAGAGCTGTGACTGTTTAGTCTGGAGAAGAGAAGGCTCAGGAAGATAAAAAATCCTGGACGGGGTGGTGTAAAGGAACTGTAGCCTGACTCTTCTCAGTGGTATTCAGTGAACAGACAAAAGGCAACAGACACAAATAGAAACCAAGCAGCCCTATTTAAAAAGATTTTTTTTATATATGTATGTATATATATATATATATAAATAAAATGTGTTTATTTTCATGATGAGGGTGGTCTAACACTGGCACAGGTATCCCAGAGAGTTTATGGAGTGTCCATCCTTGGAGTTATTCAAAATTTGACAGGACACAGTCCTGCTGTAGTCGTTGGCTCTGCTTTGGGCAGCAGGGCTGGTGTAGATCTCCCAAGGTCAACCTCTTGGATCTGTAGCAAAACCACTGACTCCATTCTCCACGGAGAAGCTGATCTGGGTCCAACACAGACTGCTGCTGTGGTACTTCTTGTTCAGTTCCTTGGGAATTGTTTTGTGAGTTTGGTTGGGTTTTTAATTTTTTTTTTTTTTTTTTTTTTTAAAGTATAGCCACCTATCAGAAGCGATCTCTTCACCACCAACACTTATTTTTAGATAATGGTGGTTCATTCAACAAGCCTACATTTACTAGCCATTACCACAGTTGGGTTTTCTCTGAGATTAAGTGCTCATAAAGTGACTGCTACTAAGTAAACAGCATCAATATCATCTGTGCAAGAGACAAAATGGGCAAGTAAAAAGAGCTCACCTGCCTTTCCTGGAGAGGACTGTGCTTCAGCGGAGTGGGAAGTAGGTTGTAAATGCATTTTCTCCACTATTCTGGAACAGTTCTTCCAGAACTATAAACAAAACAAACCCCCACGTGCCACCCCACACGTCAGCACACAGAGGGGCTGTGCAGGCCACAGTCCTGTGGAGGGCAGGACTTGGGTACTTGGCACTGGGCACAGAATGCCAGGGTTTGTCTCCAGAGCAATCAGGGATGCACGTTTCATACATCCTGTTTCGTACACAGTTTTCACATCCTTGCTGATTCATCTCTTCCTTGAGCATACTGTTTCCTCTCTCCCCACCTTACATTCCTCTCACACAGAATTCCTTCCTGCTTCTGTCACTCCTGTTGTGTATATCTGGAGCCTGTCTATTCCTGCTATCTCTTTCTTTGAAATGATATGACCACAACACAATGGGCTTTAAGCATTTTTTAGCTGAAGGTTAAGCTAGAAATCTCAAAAAGATACACCTGTCTTGCATAACATCTCCTGTCTTTCCTGCACAGCAACGTTGAGAAAATAACTTCTTGCTGTTTTGGTCTCCCTGTTATTGCTAGAGACATGGACATAGAAATACAAAATTATGCTTAATTGGTTACAAGTCTGTAAATGGCTCAAGAAGATATTCTATCAAAATAGGTTTATTTAAAAAAATAATCCAAAGAATATGCTAAATGCTGAATTACTGAACTGTACTAACTTTCACATCTAGGTATAAGTTTAAGACTGATCAAAAAGTTAATTGGCAGAATACATCCTTTTTGAAAAAAGCCAGATTCAGTATGTTTGAAACATTCTGCCATATAAATTCAAAATTTCAAAACAGTTTCTTGACTGGAATCTTCAAATGACAACAACTGTTAAAGAATAAGATAAACCACAGCAATTTAAGGGATTTTTCCATATTAAGTTGGGGGTTTCTATGAGTTTAGAACTGAAATTATAGCATGTTAGCATTTGTCATTGAATTAAATTTCTGTCTTTCAAATAGTTTTCATACACATACCAAAACCTTCACTCTAAGGACGGGTTTTCTAATTATTTCTGTGTTCAGATTTTCTTCCAGATACATATGAAAAGAAGCCTGGTGACCTCACTTTAAGCCCGTGGCACAGACAAATCTCTGCACTCGGAGTTTTCCAAAGTGATCAGCAGCTGTTTCAGGTCGTGACTGATGGGAGTTGGCAAAGCTTTGTGGGAAAATGGCAAAATGCCTACATGTATACGTCCAGCTCAAGCGTTACAGTCTGCTCACATAAGTAACAATCAGATTCCCCTAAACAACCTTTACAAGACGGGGGGGGGGGGGGGGGGTGATGGGGTATTGGCGAGATCTCATTTGTCTTCAGCAGTTAATACTAACTCAAGAAGTCAATACTTCCTAATCATGAAACAGAATTTTCCCCCGTGCCTTGGAAGTCTGCCCCAATGATTTCTTGTACCCAATACCCTTCCACGAGTGCAAAAACCTATTTTTGAATTCAGTTTCTTGGAAGATACGTTTATATAAGGATTAATAGGAAACCGTTAGAGCCCAGCAGAAATAACACACACAGCTACCAAGTATAACCTTTCCAATAACGTAGGAGACAAACTAATAGTACAAACTAAGACCTCCCAAATACTATATACGTTAGTTTTCTTTCCTTTGCAAGGTGGCAAATGACAGATGTTCCAGAAGAACACGTCCTTTTGCCAAATGAGGAGGGGAGGAGGAACGGGAGGATGACAGGGGAAGATGTCCTTAGTGCCTCCCCCCCACCCCGCGCAGGTTGCTCTGATGTTTGCAGAGATGCCGCTCACTCGCGGGCTGTCACTTTGCTGGGTAAGCGAGTTTAAGCGCTCTCAGGGCGAGCCCAAAGCCAGCGCGACGCGTCCAACCCCGACAGGCACCGCCGCGACCCGCTCCCCTTCCCGGGGAGGGCGAGGATGGGCAGGAGGGAAAAAGGTGCCCGCGGCGGGGGGCTCACCATGCGAGATGCTGTGGAGCAAGGCGACGGCCAACATCCACATGCCCCTGCCGCTCGCCCGCTCGCCCTCTCCTCCTCCTCCTCCCTCGGCTGGTGGCTGCTCGGAGCCTGCGGGGCCGCTCGTCCGCCCAGCGAGCGCTCAGCCCCGCCTGCAGCCCCGCGGCTCCGCCGACACTCGCCCGGCACTCGGGCGGGGGAAGAGGCGGCCGGCGGCGGGGGCGGGAGGCGGGTGCGCGGCGCCCAGGTGTGTCCTTGGCTCGGGGAGGCGCCCGCAGGGCGGCGGGGGCAGGGCCACAGGTGACAAAATCCTCCGGCGCGGCCACACGAGCATCCCCGCCGGCGGCGGCCGGCCCCGAGCCGCGGCGAGCCCCGAGCTCCTCGCACGCCTCCTCGCACGGCTCCTCACACGGCTCCCCTCGGCCCGGCGGCGGGCGGGCGGGCAGGCGGGCACATCTTCCTTTTCCCCTTCTCTCTTGCCTTCTCTCCTCGCTTCCCTCGCTCTCCGGCGGCTCGGAGCGCTCGGAGCCCGCCGCTCACCTCCCCTGCCTGCCGGCGCGGCGGAGGGCAGCGCTAACCCCAGCCCTCCGCAGTCTTAAAGCACCACCGGGGCCGCGCAGCGGGAGAGAAGAGGAAGCAACACCAAAAGAAACAGTCGTTGTGATATATGCTGCGATATAACAATATTAGTACGTGCACGGAAAGTGCTCTCTTCGTCGTGATCAGCACATCCCGAGTGGCACTCTGGAGGAAGCAGTGGGAAGATTAGCTTAGATTATATGTAAGACAGTGTTTACTTGTTTTAAAGGACGTTTGATCAGTCGTACAAAATTGTATGTGTTGTATTGTATTCCAGCTACTGACCTTTCTCACTTGCAATATCCTTGCTGAGCTGTAAATACTTCAGTGAATGGAAGAGCTTGATTTTCTGCTATAAGTCAATGAGAGGGTGTTGGAGCTGTCCAGAGTGTAGTATTTTCTCCTCGACTGATGACAGCACTAGTTAGACTTGAGATCCAACCACAGATCCCAGACCCAGATCAAACAGACATTTAGTGCATTCTCTGCATGGGAAAAGTGAAACATCTTCTCTTTAGTTGCTCACACAGATAAACAGCAGGGTAAAGTAAATAGACACTAAAAATTATTTTCCCTAGATGGCAACAGGGTAGAAACTGGCCTTTCAAGAGGTCACAAAGGGAATAGGTCTTGGGAACTTCATGATATGCAGAATCACTAAATCATCAAGGTTGGAAGAGACCTTCGAGATCATCCAGTCCCAGCAACTCAGCAGCACCCAAAAGAGGCTGTATGAAAGAAAAGCTGAAGTGGTTATATAGGGAGCTGAGCAAGAGACAGTGATAAAGGCATAAAACTCCTCAAACAAAGCAACAGCAACAACAAGAAAAAAAAATATGGACAGTGTAGTAGTTGAAGCAATTAATAAGACAAAATAGCAGGTGCAAAGTTACCAAAGCTTTTAAAATATCAAATTATTTATTGTTTTTGGACTGGCAGGGAAAATTATCTTCTGGGATATATTTTGGCAGGAGACAGGTCTGTACATACATGCTTGGATGGCCAGAGAGTAAGCTCCTACAATGATGGAATATCTGCAGTGGAGAACAGGACACATGATGTGGTTAGTGGGGGGAAAAAGGGCAGATAATGTTTATGCTGAGTAAAAGGCAGCATGTTCTGGATACATGAGCTGAGAGAGAGGGTGTTGTCAAGAGCAAACTCCAAAGTGTGGCTTGGAGCAGCTGTAAGGATGGAAATGTTGGCAGTGACAGAGAACAAGGAGGGAAATGAGAGACAACTGAAAAGATGGATATGGTTGGTGTCAATAGGATTAGCTGCTCAACAAGAGCTTTAGAGATAGAGCTGAATGATTTATATGTACTCTCTATGACATGTTATGGGTGTATGTGGCAGGATTTGGGGAGCAGAGAGATGCAGGGTGGGAGGACACCAGGGAGTGTCCCCATGCTGGTGACATGGAGGAGTCAATGCCCGAGCAGAGGAAATGAGTGAGAAGGAAGGATCCATGGAAGAAAAGAGTCAATAAAAAGGAGTGACAAACCCCCCTGCAATGTGCAGACCCCAATCTCCATTGCATCACTGAAGGGACTGAGTGTAACCTGCAGCCAGACAAGGGGAGGGGAGACTATGAGGCTGGAGGGCAAGTGTCTGGAGTCAACTTGACTCTTGGGCTTTCCCAAGAGGAGAAAAGATTCCCTAAGTTTTTGTTTAGTTGAATGTCTTCTTTTTTTCTCAATATCCAAATCAGTAATTTTCAAATCAGTTTATTTTCATTGGCAATGAATTAAATTCAGTGGAATTCCCCGAGTTCAGTCTTCTTCTGAGAACATATTAGTAGCCCTACAAGCAAATGCAATGTTTCATAATACCTGCTAAAGAGCTGTTCAAAGAAGAAGAAAAGGAAAAGAAAAATCACCAATTTTCAAATTAAGGCAAGCTGCAAAGACACTGAATTAATTATTAGTAAGATTCTAAACAAGATTCCTCTTGCTTCTTACATAAATTAAGAAAAATATCAGCAAGAATTCTGTAGAACAATACCCTTTTCTTTACTGTAGGATGGATAGCAGGAGTTTTCTGTCCAGAAGCATTTTCCTTGGTATTTTACATACACTTTTGTCAAAAATGAATAATGATCAGTTGTGAAACAAATATTCTCCCCTCGCTTTGAAATTATCAAAATGGCTTCTTAAATCAGCAAAGGGGGGGGGAAAAAACCAAAAAACAACTTGTCAGATGGTTTCATTGTTGGTTCTTGTATTCAATACTTTTCCTGTTGGCTTCCTGATTGCATAACTTGGAAGTTCTACTGCAAAAGCTTTTGTGCAGACAAACAGTGAATGTCTAGAAATGTATTTTAGTGCTAAAATATGATGATTATGCACAGGTATTTTTCTTTTAATGACAAGAGGATCATTCCAAGTTCTCAGTGTTTTGTGCTTATCATTTTTTTGGGGAGAGAATTCCCAGTGGTCTTGCTGATGCATGGCCTGACCCTGCAAGAAGCATTCCTGAAAAGATTAGCATCTGAATATGTGCAATCCCATTACATAGGCAGTGCTTTGGGCTTCCCCAGGATGGGTAGACTGTGGTCATACCTCTGTTGTGAGGGGATGTGGTCCAGACTCTTCCTCATGACTTACCTTATAGCTGCTTCTGTTGCCTTCTCAGAACCCCTGGCAAACTTTTTTGCATTTATCTTCCACAGCATCCCTGTAGGTTTGGAGTTTGTTGTTATTCCTGTATCAAAGAACTGAAGCACAGGGAAGTCAAGGGCTAATCCACTAAGGAATTCAGGTACTGAAACAATCTGTGCTGCAAAAGTCAAGTTCTAAGTGAGCTCCAAGATATTGGAACTCACAACCTTAGGTAGTACCCAGTGCCCTGGTAGTTCATGTAGAAGAGTTAGGCACTGCAAAATGGGATTCAGGGAAAATAAATGGAGAGACACATCAACTGATGGGAAACAGCTAAAAGAGAAGGGCTTTAACACTCACCAGGCAGAGGCAGTGATGGGCTGGGTTCTCTCAGGAGAAGCAGAAGAGGAGACAATTGACTTCTGCACTTGTTCTACACCCAACAGAGAGAGAGCTGGCTGCAAATTATTACCTGACAAAAATCACAGAAAGGGTGGTTTATCCTGGTTATCCTGTGTTCTTTGTGGTAGTTCACTTGCCTATGAGACTTAACACCCAGCTCCTGCTTTTTTCCAAAGCTGTATTTTTCCATGCTTTCTTCACATAGAGCAAGGGTGACTTAGAAGATGTCATATGATGCCATAGCAACCTCATCTTCTCTGAGGCAAAAGAGCTGGAGTCCTTCTCCAAAACAAGCTGGAGCGCACTGGAACATGGATCTCTCACCTTCAAAGCTGGAGCTCTCAAGTTTTTGGGTATGGGGTGACAAATGGGGACAAGAGGAAGGACACCTTCTCTACTCCAATTCCACCTTCCAGTTGGCAGAAGTGCAGCAGAGCAGCCCGTGCTGGGGAGCAAGTCAGGGTTGTCAACACCCTCAAGAAATAAGCATCTTCATGCATGTTCTGGGGCAAGAAATCCAGGAGGTGACTGCAGACATATCTAGTCTTACAGTGATACTCTGTCCTGAAGGTCTTTCTTTTCACAAAAACATAAAGAAAGATATATAATAACAGGAGAATTTATAGGGACTCTTCCATTCCCTGTGATTTTCTAAACATAATTTTCAATTTCTAATTCATGAAAGCCTCCTTGCAGTTTGTTCTCAAGTCCTTCTGTCGTCTGCCTCGCACTCTCTTTTTTTCTGAAAGTATTCAAGGCATTAAAAATGCAAGTACAACTATATATATCTCTCTAATACTATATATATTGTTATGGAGATAGTTCTAAGAGATAACATTATGAAGGATCTTATGAAAGATCTTATCTTCATGTGAAAGCTATTTTAATACCTTACCAGAGGTAACTGGGGATCAGTTTTGCCCTCTGTAATTAGCTAAAATTACCTCAACCTTCTCTTTAGGCTGGATGAACAACATGTAGAACTGTTACCTCAGGTATTCTTGGTTCTAAATCTCTGCATGTTAAAGAATAACATGTGAGAAGCAGAGAGGAGGGGAAGAAAGAATAGAGAAGGAAGATGCATCTGTACCCAGCTAACTCCTCCCTGCCTCAGGGTTTATTACAATATATTTCAGCCTGTCTGCCTACAGTTATTCCACAGGATCCATCCTTGCAGAGATTTATGCCACAATTCCTGGATTCAAGTCCTCTGCAGAGGGACAGGAACGTCTGAAACCTGTAGGCAGGTGGAAGAAAAGCTAATTCAGTGAGTGAACAAGGCCCCTTCCCATCCCCAAATGAGCGTATTTTCAGCAACCCTGTTCGTGCTCATGCTCAAGTCTGTCATTTTCCCCCCTCTCCTTAGAGAATCTGGATCTAGTTAAATGTGTCTGAGCACATGACAGGTTATGCCAGGGTCTCTCTTCACATCCAGGCTGGCTGAAGTTCCAAACAGTCTCACGTCGAGCCCTGACATCCCACATTAGGAAAAACAAAATAGTTGCACAGATAATAAAACACGATCTTGTCAACAAGTTTTAACTAAACATGCAAAAGGAGCAGGTGTAATTTTAGAAAGCCCTGAGTTATAGACCTGAACAGCAAGTGGCAGGTGCACACTCTCAGTCAGGGATTCTGATGTAATTTCTGCCAAATCTTCCAGTTGTTTTCCTCAGTCTTCATCAGACAGAGGGATCAGCCAGTTGGCATTTATCCAAGCCCCAACCCCGCTTGGGCTCCAACCAAAACGCTCATCCCAAGTATCAGAGCTGGATTAGATGAACATCAAAGTTAGGTGTTGTGGGTGAGCTTAAGGTAGCACGGCCTGTGCTTTTATTTGAGCTCACCCCCTCAGCTGCCTCAGCTGCTCATCAAACATCCACTGTGGGGGGATCACTTCATACCTGTGAATTCTCCTCAAGCAGAGCCTGAGGACAGGTGAGGGACTGCACAGTATCACTCCCTGTGTAGTGGGTTGACCCTGGCCAGGTACCAGGTACCCACTAAAGCCACTCTCTCCCTCTGCAACTGGA